GGCTGGGGCTCAGGGATGTGCTGTCTGTACTACACTGTGCTGCAGAGAGGCTCTCCAAGCGTGGGCAATAAGTTAACGCCTGAGCCCTAGGTTGGCTGCCCCTGCTTATAAGCTGTATGCATCTACACCAACTCATCCACAGCAGTCCCATCCTGTGCCCACAGCCATCGACTTGTGTTTTGCTGTATCGCTAGAGCATGATAACGCAGAGCGTGCTATTAGACCACGGTTGGGCTGCATCTGTCTTTCCCTACTGCTCCCTTATCTAAACAGCCTCCATGCCTGTGTTTGCCTTGTAGGCTAAGATGGTTTCTAAGAGCTCGGTGACTGGTGGAGGCCCTGGTTGTGCACGTGGACCAGAAACCAGAAAGAGCCCTAAATAAATACATAAAAGGGAGATAAGGAGAAGAAGTGAGGAAAGAGGAGAGAGAAAGGAAGCCAATATTTTCCTGTGGGCACCCTCCCTCCAGGCAGCAAAGCTCTAGCTAATTAATTATGTTGGGATGTGGGGAACCATGAGTAGAGAGAAGCTTTTACTCTTAAAGCTAAAGACATAAATGCATGGACTTCTGCCATGTGGGAATCTCCCTGATGGTTTTGGGGGCAGGAGGCTGTAACTGACCCAGCACTGGGGAGGACAGCACCCCACCCGCAGCTATTGTTGGCTGGCTTGGCTGCTCCTGCTGGAGGGAACACAGGTCCTGAACAGTTCTGGGGCAACCAAGTTCAGCACAACTGCTACAGCTGCCCACAGCTGCAGGTAGAACCATGGATGGATGCCATCCTCAAGTTTCCTTGGCCCACAAAGAAGCAGCGGCTGGGGCTGCTGTGGGCAGGAGGTCCTTCAGGACAGCCCTGAGGCTGCAAACACACAGTAGTTCCCCCAGTTCTGCTTCTTCCCACAGCTGGAAGTATGTGCCCAAGGTTCAGCAGTCATAGAAAGGAGTTTCTGTGTCAGACAGGCGGCAGGTCCTGGAAGTTACTGTGTGGGATTCTTACTCCCTGTTTGCTTGCCTCCTTCACATAGCAGGACAACTTACATTCTAGGAAAATGCATATGGATATTTTCTACTCAGAATTGGAGGCTCTCACCCTTTCCTCTCCTTGAAGACTAACCAAAATGCCGCCTTATTTCCCTGTGTGTTAGTCCTTCTGATCATCTCCAAGCAGCTCAGCAATTAGTTAAACTTTCTACTTCCACAACCTGCCTGCAGCAGTGCACAGCTCTGAGTGGCTCAGCTATGCAGGCAGTACTGTCCTGCCTGCTGCGGGGATGAAGGCAGCAGGCTGCAGGGCTCACCTGCAGAGATGGGCTGCCAGGAAGGCAACATGAGGGACAGATTTTGGGGTTCTATCTGCACCCCAATGTTTGGGCAAGCAGAATGTGATTGCAGCTGTATGGACCACCCTGTATCTGATGTCTGGGTGATGCAGAAAATTGATGGGTATGGTTGCAGCTGGTTACCGGTGTACTGCTGACCCTGGGTCTTCACGTGGATGAGTGAGGAGTGTGGTGCAAGCTCAGCACCTTGTGTCTTTTTTTCTTAGCAAAGCAATCAGGTGCTTGGCAGGAGGAGGAGGAATTAAGTATCTTAAATCTGGAGACCTTTAGAGGTGAAAGCCATAAGGTCCTTAGCCTGCACTGCAGATGGTTTGGCCCAAAAGTTTCTGTGGCTGCCCAGGAGGAGAGGTCTTGCAGTGGTGTTGGGATGGTTCTGGTTCCTTGTCCTGCTGGCTGACACACTGAGGCTGTATTCAGGCTCCTGAGAGTGTTGGGAGCCCTCCTGTTGGGCTGCACTCTGTCTTAGACCTGAGTGCTGGCAGAGAGGTGGGAGGCTGGGAAGATGTGGAAAGGTGGAGACCGAGGCCAGAGAGCTGCCAGATAGCTGCTGGGTCTGTTCTGCTCTGTGTGGATCCAGATGTGTTTCTGCTGGCACATGGCCTTCTGAACACAAATGCTTATGATGAGCTGAAAAGACATCCTCACTTGTCCCCAGCTCAGATTATCTAATTTTAGCTTCTGTTCATTCTCTCGGGATCTGGTTGCACATACACCCTGTGCTCAGGGTATGTACATCACCTTGAACAGTGTGGGATTATTGTTAGGGAACAGGTCAAGGGTTCTGGAAGGCACCAATCCACTTGGGTGTGGTGGGAGGCTGGGGTCTGGGTCCTGCTGCCTCCAAGGCATGTGATGGATGAAGGACTATGGGTCCTTCAGGAGGGAAAGAATAATTGGAGTTTGTTCTCTTGGGAAAACTGATTTGATTCAGCAAGCCAAAGCACTGTGGAGGATGGGGAGGAAAGTAACAGGTGCTCAGCACAGAACTGAAAGCATGGTTTCCTCCGTGGTGCTAAAATGGTTAATTAATGTAATCATCGTGGAGCTCCTGGTTAAGCCATCCATTGCTTAGCAAACAGTTTTGGGTGTAAGTATAATAAATATTTGATGCTGTGAGAAGATGATAAGGCCAGCAACCAACTGATGCACAGCAGAACCTTCTCTCCCTTAGCTCACATTGCTGCTCCCACCCTTGCTCCCAAGGACTAGTCTCTGCTTTTGTCATCTGCCTTCCTGGCTGCTGCCAGCCATGGTTTTGGCATGTCCCTTGGCATGCTGCTCCTCACAGTAATGCCAGCACAACTCTTAATCATGCTGCACTGGATGTCTTGCATTGTGCTTCCACTCCTAATTTCCAAACTGACAGCGTCAGGACTGTACCATCTCCAAGGACCTCTGGATGCTGCTATGGCAGGCATGGACCAAGCCTGGCACTGTCCTTCATAGTGCATTGTGCAAATTAATTATGGTTGTGATTACCCTGCAGGACCTTTCCAGCTGGCTGATTTCAGTTACAGCCTTCTCCATCTCTCCTAAGTTTGTGCAAGCCTGCACAGCCCCCATCCTTACAGAGACAGTGAGCCCCACACCTGGGACTTGCTTTGGGTCTGTTTTCCTCCAGTCCTGTGTCTGCTCAAAGGTGGAGCCTATCCTCAGCATGAATTTATCATCTGGAGTTAGCTCTTCTGCATGTACATGGCTGGGACAGAGCAGGGAACCTGGCCAGCAGCAGGAAGGTGTTCTTATTGTTGGGAGCCAGCGCTGACTCACGAACCTGACACCAGAGACAGCATTAGGCTAAAAACCTGAGTCCTGTGTGGCTCAACTTCTCCCACTACTCATCTGTAGTGCTGCTGCTCCTCAGTCTGCCTCCTGCCCCTTGGGTAGTGCACAGGTCCCTGCTGAGCCAGGAGAAGATGTCACCTAGAAATGTGAATTTCTGAGGAGTCGAAGGCTGCATGCTAACCCAGCTGATAGCTCTATCTTCTTTCTCTGCCATGGTTTAATCTGAGCGTTGTGTTTGAAACAAGAAGGCCTAGTATCCATCTACTAATACTTCCTGTTAATTGAGAAATTGAGGTTAAAAAACAGCTGCACAATCCCTCTGGGCTGGCTATCATTCCCTGCTGGGCCACTGCCCTGCAGCTGAAGCTGTGCAAACTTCAAATCATGACATAATGTACTGGAGTGGTGGTGGGCAGAGGCACTGCAGCTGGGCTGCAATGTCCCCGCTGGCAGTCAGCTGGTTGGAGCAGATGTAGAACCATAACACATGTAGAGCATAACACGTCAGAAGGGCGACTGCGTTTGGGTACCAAAAACTCTTCTCTATACATTGACAATTCAGTTCATTCTTTGGCAGCTGCTCTGAAACACAACTTCTTTCAGCTACGTTGACTCAAAATATGAAGCTAAGCATTCAGAAAAAAGAAGCCCCAAATATACACAGGTACTAACTGTACAGCTTAGGATAAACATTACAAAGAACTAGTGTAAATGCAGGCAGTTACTTCAAAACAAATTACACAAGTGAATGCTTATCTTTCTCTGGCAAACCTATTTTTGCTGTTTGAACCTTGGCATTCCTTTCTCTCCTCCTCAATTTTTCCCACTTTTATGGCTGACTGAAGAAACCTCCAGAAGTAATAAGGTTACTTATAAGCATTCTTTGGGATTAAGCTTGGACAGCAAGAGCTTTGGGCAACACTTCCAGCACCTACATCTTAGCAGTACCTTATTTGTAAGATCTGTAGATCTGTTTCTAACTAGTGTGCCTGACGACTGCCTACAGCCAGCTGGAGATGAAGGCAATGTCAGAACTATCCATGTTGGATTCTGCCCCCAGCATGTTTTCTGGGGAACCAGCTTGCTGTACCGCCAAAGGACACCTGGCTGGTGCTGAGGGCAGATTTGGGCTCCCTGCATCTCAAACTTTCCTTACTCAGGATGGCTGTCGGGAGCAGCAGAGCTGATGTTTCCATGGAGGTGAGGCTGCAAGATGAGATGCTGGGTTTGCCGAGCAAACAGAAGCCTTGAGATAAGGTATCCCACCCCTCACTCAGAGTTTACCTCCCACCTCCTGTTTGTTTCGTTTTTTTCCTCTCCCCCTGGGCTTCCACCCCTGGCAGCTGCCTGTCCCCCCCATCCTTACCCTGCTCCAGATCCTGCTGGTCGTACCAGGGCTCCTCTTCCTCGCTCTGAAACTCTTCCATCCTGTCAGCACTCAGCATTTAGCAGCAGGGGCCGGGGAAGGCGAGCAGCATGCGCCGAGGGGGCCCCACCGCCGCCGGCAGCGGGGATGGAGGCAGGGATGGAGGCAGGGATGCGGGCCGGGAAGCGGGTGGTACGACGTGGCAACCGGCTCCTGGCCGCTGCCGGGCTCTGCTTCTCCGAGGGAGGCTTCTGCTGCCGCTGGGGCCGGGGGAGGCTCCAAGGGACGGGGATTAAACGGGGACGTAGCCGGAGGGGCCGGGGGATGCACAAAGGAAGGAAGAGGGCCCGGCGCAGCCAGGCAGATCCTCTCTCCGCAGCTCGGTGGAGACCTCTAGCATGGAAATGCTGCAAGGAAAGCCGGCGACAGGGAAGGGGGGGCGAGGCCGATCTCCTCCTCCTCCTCCTCCTCCTCCTCCTCCTCCACGCCCAGCCGCCCTCAGGCTCCCCTCCCGGAGTGCGGGCATCTCTGGCTCCCGATTCGCGCTGCTGCGGGCCGGGGCGGTCCGGCTTTACTGCGGGAGGCTCTGCGGCTTCGGGTGAGTGTCAGCCTCCTCTCCGGTGGGAATGTGGCATTCTCACCTGGTTCGGATGTGTTGGTGTGGGTGTGAAAGACGGGACCCGTATGAGCAGACCCGTAGCATCACCTTAGCCTGGTGTCTTCTCTACAGTGTCCTCCATTTGGTAACCTGATAAGAAGTCAGTGCTTGTCCTCCAAGCTTTTCTCTTTTTCTCGAAGGCAAACTTCTGTTTACGTGATTTGTTTGTCCTCGTTAGCCATGGAGTCCATCAGAGACTCTAAGGTATGAACTAATGTGACAGTGTGTGTAGATGGATTTTTACCTTCTGTGTGATGGAGCTCCCAGATTTATACCCAATTGCATTACCTGCAGTGGTGCCTACAGGAAAGGCATGCAAGATGTTTATGCAAGAGCCCAGAAAAGATGTGATCTGTACCAGAGAGCTTCCTCAACCCTGCTGCGAGCAGCTGAGGGTCCCTGTGTGGTTAAAGCGATGCCTGGTGCTTGGCCCTCGTGTGCAGCAATGGAGGAGGAAAATAACACGAGGAATAAGAGAGAAATGTTGGGTGGTTCCATTTGTCACTCGATGTAGTCGATCCTGTGTGATTTCTGTACTGGTTGCATGCCAACAAGTGAGAGCTCCCACCGCTTGCTTTAGCGGGCCAGCGCCGTGTGTTCCTGCAACACCATCCAGTTCTGCCTTCCTCTAAGAAATGAGGTCTGCCGAGCTGCAGCTCAGCGCCCCGCAGAGCGCTGCTGTGGGTGCGGGTCTGCTCGGGGCGGAAAACAGCAGAGCTGTAAAAGCAGCGGTGAGCAGCGCGGGGCAACGCCTCCGGCCCACGGGCTACAGAACGTCCTCGGCTCAGGTAGGGAACTTCAAGGGGAAGAGAACGAGGATGGGCAGAGGGTGATGGGTGAGGAGGAGAGCGGGCTGAAGGAAGGGGGTGGAGAGTGGAAAAAGGACGCGGGTAAGAAGGCAGAGGGAGCCGGGGACAGGGAGAGAGGTTTGGAGGAAAGGAAAATCGGCAGAGCGGCGCGCAGGGAGAGGAGCTGGGGATGGAGGGGCGGGCAGGGAGCGAAGGAACGGCAGCGCGGGGAGGGGGGGAGAGAGGGGCGGGGAGGGGCGGAGCCGCGATCCGCGAGGGTTTGACAGCGGGACGGACGGATGGAGGCGGCGGGACGAGCCGGAGCTGCGGCGTGAGGCTGTGCCGGGCCTCAGCCCGCACTATGGGCAGCGCGGACTCCAAGCTGAACTTCAGGAAGGCCGTGATCCAGCTCACCACCAAGACACAGGTGAGGGCCGCCATGTCGCGGGGGGACCGCCATGTCAGGAGCCTCCCTGAGGCGGCCGAGGGCCGGCGGGCCCGAGCCCCGCGGCGGCCCGGTGCTGCGGGGCGGCGGGCTGTGCGGGGCAGGCTGTGCCGTCACCGCGCCGCGCGATCCGCTCGGCGTTTGTGCGCCCGTTGCGGGTGACGCTGGTTGGAAAGGACGCTGCCAGCCGGGCTGCCGGGGCGGCTCTCCGCACGGAAGCGGTCTCCGCACGCGGCCCGTGGAATAACGCTGTTGTCCCGCAGGCTGCGGTGGAGAAGCGCGGCGGGAGGCGGTCGGCGTTACGGCCGCGCTGCTCTGAGCCGCCTCCGGCCGAGGGGCCGTAACCGCAGCCGTGCGAAGGCGGAGATGTGGAGGAGGTAGGGGCAACGGCGGGGAATAACGTCAGAACGGGGTGTGGGCAGAAAGAGAGGAAGGGCGAGGGGAGGGGGTCTGCGAGAAGTCGGAGTGAGGGCCGGGGCGGCTGGTAGAAGGTAGGGTTGGAAGAGGCTTCGCGCTGTAAAGCTGCGTTCGCCGCTTTCCCGGTCTGCGGGACCGGGGTTTGTGGGAGCGTCACGACAGGTTTTTCAGAGCAGACGCCACGGAATCGGAGAAGCGGGTGAATTAACCTGAAGGAATTCTTCCAAGTGTTTTTTGGTTGCCAGAATGCTTCGGGGTGCCGTCGGATCTGCGGGGCCGTTCTGTTATGAGGGACGCGCTTACCGAGGAGGCCGGGGGAGGCGGATGAAAGCCGGCTGCTCGGCGCCTGCGCTCACCGGCGGGATCGTCGCACCTGCTGCCCGCGGAGCGCAGCCCGCGCGAGGCGGTGCCTCCTGGTGCCAGCCGAGGGCAGAGCTCCCCTCCCCCGTTTGTTGACGTGTGCGCGAAGGAAGGTTCTGAGGGGCCCTGGGTAAAGGGAAGAGAAGCGGTGTCGTTCTGGTCCGGATTCATTTCGCGTCTTTGTGTCTACGTGAGCCTGAGCGCCATGTGGAAAAAGGGCGGGGTGTTTGTTGGCGCTCCCATGTTTACACAGCGCGGAAGGGCACCGTTGTTCGCATGGCCGGTGTGCGCGGCCGGGCGTGCAGCCGCCTGGTGCGCGGGGACCTGGATCCGAGCGGCAGCGATGGACGGAGTCAAATCCCCACTTCGGGACTGTTAACTTAAAAGGCACTTTGCTTTCTCGGCAACGTCTCTGTTTGTTTGTTTTGTTTTTTAAGTCTTTCATTGGGTAACTGGACAAACAGATTTTTGTCAGATCTTGGGTAAAATGAAACCAGGAGCTAAGTAATGTGCTGTGCCACGTTTGGGAAGGCTTTTGAGGGGAGGAAGTGGTCCAGCAGAATGCAGTTTTGCTCGCTGGTGAAAGTTTGGAGTTGGCGTAATTAATTTTTCTTGAATCTATAAGTTTTCATTGATTAAAATGAGTGTTCCACATGAACACTAAAAAAAACCAAAAAGCAACAAACAAAATTGTCAGTAATGTAATGCTTCAGTGCTTGTAGCACATGTGGAGCCTGGATCTTGAAAGTCAAGCCAAGGGTGGGCAAAAAAGGTGGAACTGATTTTCGGTTGCAAAAGAGAAACTCTGAAGATGTAAAAATACTAAAAAAGAAAAATCACTTCAGAGCGATTTCGGAGCAATGTCAGTGATGAAAAAGGTACCAGAGGAAAGGTATTTGTTTATGCTACAAATGTATGATAGTGGTCACAGGCAGAAAAAGGGGTTTGAAGGCTTTCTTACATGATGCCTGTATTTCTGTATGTTGCCCACTTCTATAAGAGTATTCCTAATCAATTTAACAGTAAAACAGGTGTGCCCTGTCATTTGGGATGTGTGGGCTCTCCCTCACCCCCAGGAGTGCTGCCTGCATGGCAGGTGAAGGGACGTGTGGGCTGTGGGTGGTGGGCATGGAGCTGAAGCTGAGGGAAACGTGCTTGCTTTTCCCAGTTGGGGATTAAATGATTTCTTTCTTTCTCCTTGGTGCACAAATGCAATATTATGACATGCTGTTAATTTGAGCCTGATAGAAGTAAATATTATGCTTAGAGAGAGATTAGTTTCTGAGTAGCCTATTTCTGAATGTATTCAAATATCTAAGTCTTCTGGGTTGACAAAAAGTGACGTTATTGTTTTACAACCAAAACTATATCTGACTCTTAGGCTTTCAATGCCAGGACTCCACAAATCACATTTTCTTTTGCTGTGAGCAGAGGCCTAGCAAAAGACTTGTTTGGGATCTCTCCTCGATTTCCGCCCTGCTGGTGCAAATATCCTATGAAAAAAATCACTCTGCACTGAGAGCAGTGTGGAGCTGCTGTCCTTGGCAGCAAGAATGAAATCCTGCTACTTATTAACATTTTGAATAAATCCGACCTCGGGCTTTGCTTTTCACAGTGGCTCACAAGCAGGTGGTCAGAGGTACCTGCACTGCCTCACGCTCCCTGCAGGGCTGCCTGATCTCCTAGGGCTCAGTCTGGTGCCGCGCTCTGAATTCTGCCGCATTTGAGTGGAAAGGAGCACGCTGCTGTTACTGTCTGAGTTTGTACAGTCCTGTCTGGAAAAGCCTGGTCAGAAATTAGGGCTTCGAGTCCCAGAAGAATGGTAGTCCCTACCCCGCGTGCCTTGAGGTCTGGGCTGGTCAGCATGGTGGCAAGAAGTGAGGACTGGAGGACGGTCCTCCAATAGGGGCAGTTGGGAATGGGTGCTGGATAAGAAGGTGTTGGGTGTCCAGGGGTAGTGCAGAGAACGCCTGGGTGGGAGGAGGGTGCAAATGCTCACTCTGCCTGAGCTTGTGAGGGGTTATGTGAAAAGTGAGGAGTTGTATGTGAAAGTGGAGGTGATAACAGCTTTGGGCTGAGGACAGTAACAAGCAGGGGAGGCGGTGCTTTGGGCCTTTTCCTGTTTATAGGAAGTGGTCAGCACTGCGCTGTGATCTTTATTCCCACGATGTATCCTGTTTGCTTAGGATTGCTTGTTCAGGGCTGGTCAGTATCTGGCAAAATGCTTGTAATTCACACGGCTTCCTTTCTGATTGTTGCAGTATGTGTGGATGGCGCGTTTTAAAGCATCCAAAACCCCCGGTTTATAACTATTGGGGAAGTCTGGAAATCTGGGGAAGTCTGGAAGTGTCGGCAGGACTGATTCTGCCTTTGTGTAGCCAACGTGCAAACGGGAGGACTTTAAGCCTTGTCGAGGTGAACTGAAGGCAAAAATAAAAATCTCCCTTGTCCACTGTAAGACATCACATCCACTTAATGCTGCCTGCAGTGCTCACAGCAGCAGTCAGTGCTGCAGTCAGTTCTTTCCTTTGGTGCAGACGTGGTTCAAGCAGCAGGTGATCAGCGAATGAGGCTGTTCCAGGTCACTGTACTCCCCTTTTCTGCGTGCTGGGTGCAGGCTGTTGGGTGAGCTCAGCATGAGGAGATGGATGTTTAGATCTCTGGAAATGCTGTACGCAGAATACAGTCGGCTTTAAAACGTCCACCCGTGTTCTTTTGAGGAGATGAATATTACGTGCATCAAGTAGCTTTATGATGCCAGACGGACGGTTAATTAGATTGGGGGGGCTGCAGGGATGCGGGTGAGTCAGTACTGAATCCTAGGATTGTACATGGGATGCCATCTGTTGGATGGGGAGATGACTTAATGCAGCTATTAAAAAGCAACGAAACGGTGTTTTAGCGTAACCTGCTTGCCAAGATGGCAGGCATTGCTGCTACAGCATCCAACACTGCGGCTCGGGTGATTGCTGCTCTATCTCCATGTAATTCTCGTTGGAGACAGAGTTGTTTAATCCATCGTAGCTGTCATGCTACCAGCTGTAGAGCGGTGCTGTGTTCAGCCTCCAAGGAAGCTACGGTCAGAGAATGGTTCTGTGTACACTGGAGGGAAATGGTTTTCTTCTTCCCCTCTAGATTAGAATGAAGCCATTATTTATGCATGATCTTCTGTTAGCAGCAATTGCTGCTCCCTGCTGTCAGTGGGAGTGGCTGTGGCAAGCAGCCAGTAGGTGCACATGGCAATTAGCCCTGCGATTGTGGTGCCCGGTTTGGAAGGGGATGTAGGGAGTGGAGGATGTTTCCTGCGTTATACAGATCGTGTTTCCAAATACCTGACTCTTTTTGAGGAGTGTAATTAGAGATCTGACTTGCAAATAGTTTTTCTCCTCTCTCCATTTAGGCGTTTTGTGCACAGATTGCAAGGTAGTGCAGCTCTCTTGCTTGCTTAGGAAGTTGAGTTCTGCTGAAAGTCGGCTGGAGGCACTTGGCTGTCCTGCAGATCCCTCTGAGGAGCAGTTGTCTTGGATCCCTTAGAAAAAGTCTCTTTCTCGAAAAGGGGCTTGGTGGGAATTTGGTTTATTGGCCAGGTAATAAAATAAAGTGGATTTCAGCATCAGAACAGTGTTTGAGAAGATGCTTTAACTTGTGGATTTAGTTTTGAGTGGAGAGTGGCTCAGGCTGATTCATTGCATGGCAGAAAGGAGTGGGATGAGCCATGAGCCTCTCGGGTACAGGAGCACGTAGGAGGAGAGCCTGAGGGCAGTAACCTGCTGCACCAGTCTGGCAGCCGCCTGCTGGCTCCTCTCGCTTGCTGCCCTCCGGTGGTGGTGACGCATCACCTTCTGTGGGTTCAGGTGATGCCGTCTCTTCTCATTCAGTTACAGGGGAGAAATGCAACGCTTCTCAGCATCAGAGCTGTGAATGAGCTGTTCTCTCCAGCGTGGCATCTTGGCTGCGTTAAGAACCGCAGCTCAGAAGCAGACATGCTTTCTGCCTACTACGTGGAGCTGGGAATAATTCAAGTTAAACATGCATTTGTGGTTTTACCCCTCTTCCATCCGACGTGATAGACCCAGCACAGTGCTGATTATCATCACCTAGAAGAGCTGCTCTTTGCTGCAGAGCTGCTGTGGGGCAGAGGCTGGATCATGGAGCAAGGGCTGCTCCCAGGTATGAGAGGACAGACTTAGTCCATGAATGTGACCCTAGTTGGATTGCTTGTCTTGACCTCCTCCTTCCACTTCGACTGCACGATTAGGGCATTTTAAGGGTAAGGCTGTGGCTGACACTGGCTGCCCTGAGTCCCATTACCAGTAAATGTTTGGTTCAGGAAGATCAACTCAGTTGCACTATTGAGTGTTTTCAGGTGGGTCTGTCAGTTCTTTGTGTTTGTGCCCTAACATGGGACATCCCCAATGGCTTCCCCAAGGCTTTGGTTACAGCAGAAGTAATTCTGTTGTGTGTGTTGCACGTGACAGCAGCCCAGACCATGTGTGTTAATCAAGAACTGTGCATATGTGCCCCGGCTTGCAGCCAAGCTGAGGCCTTGCATGTGTTGTGATTGTGGAAGACATGAAGTGTCCAAGTCTGATGCACTTGGTCACGTAAATGTCTTGCTTGTTACCCCCAGTGCTGAGGGAATGGTCTCTTTGGGAGGTCCCAGAAGCCTTGGCTCTGGTAACTAAAAAATCTGGAATGTAAATCAGTGATGCTGTTTTATTTGTCCTCTTCTGTTCTCTGCGGCGATGGTCACATCCCTGATCCAGTTGCACTGATGTTTGGAACTCATGGGATGGTGGTTCTGCCTCTGTAGCTCTGTCTGTCTCTCCACAGCCTGTGGAGGCAACAGATGATGCCTTCTGGGACCAGTTCTGGGCAGACACAGCCACTTCAGTGCAGGATGTCTTTGCCCTTGTGCCAGCTGCAGAGATCCGAGCAGTGAGAGAGGAATCGCCTTCCAACTTGGCGACTCTGTGTTATAAGGTAAGGATGGCATTATCCTCAGTGCTGTGCTGGAAGGAGGTGTCCCTTCACTGAGTCCTGTGGCTCCCAGTGGGGATTGGTGCCCTATTGTCTCCTTGCACTACATACTGCACTTGCTTGTTCCTGTCTGCCCCCAGTGATAACTGTCTTGCCTCTCAGTTTACCACAATTCTTCCCCTGTGCTGTCTCCTAGCTTCTGACAAGCAGCAGCTTCTGAATTAAGAAGAGTTGGGGCGATCTAAACTGACCAATAATTCCTTTGGCTCTGTGTCTTCTTTCTACAAAAAGTGAGGCTAAAATGTGGGCTGTTCTCCCTGCTGGAATTGGTTGTGTTGGGAGACCTGATCTCTGCAGCGCTGTGTATCTGGGAGCTGTAGATTGTAAGATGTTGTGGTCAGAGCAGCCTGCAGACTTTTGCTGGTCTGAAGGCCCTGACCTTTGCCAAGCATGGTGTGACATTGGACCTAGCAGCCCTGTGTGTTTGTGAGAGCAGAGCAGCATGGCTGAGATGCCATCTGCAGTCATGGCTGGAGACTCAGACTACATCCCTGCTGTGCAGGGTCATAAATGTGCCTGGAAAAATATTTACGCGCAGTCATGGAGTTGTGCGTGGATGGGCTGAGTGTACAGACAGCATTTACATGCCCATTAAGGCAGTGACGCAAGCTAGCAGAGTCAGTGACCCAGACAGCCTGCTATGAAACTAAGTGGAGAATACGACCTCGGGAATTAAAAAGCTGCATGGTGAACCCTTAGTACTATTTCTGCTTCCAGTGCTGGAGGGAGCCCACAGGTGCTGTGGTTCTCTATCCATGCAACATGTGCTGTGTGGGTTACCCTAACATGTCAGATCTCTTGTGCTGGAACAGAAGAAATTGAAGAAGGTCTGGCTAAGATTGTTTATCCCAGTGTTTCAAACAGCAATGGAGGCTGTATTATTGAACTCAGAGAAAATGGATTCCAAGCAGTGCTTATAAATCTATGTGAAGATGTCACCAGCAGGTCAGAGCTGTGTGGTTCTGCTCATGTCGATGCTAATGCTACCTGCCTTTTGTTTCCTGCAGGCTGTGGAGAAGTTGGTGCAGGGAGCAGAGAGCGGCTGCCACACAGAGAAGGAGAGACAAATCGTTTTGAACTGCAGCCGGCTCCTCACTCGTATCCTGCCTTACATCTTTGAGGACCCAGACTGGAGAGGTTTCTTCTGGTCAACTGTCCCTGGGGCTGGCCGAGGAGGGGTCTGTCTCTTGGCACTTATTCTCCTTTCTGGAGGGTGAGCGGGAGGAAGCAAG